GGGGATTGCCATACTTCTTCAAGGGAGGAGTTAAATCTTGGAGCAAGCAGTGCTGGAGAAGGAGAAAGTTTCACTTTTGTTGTGTGAGGTGGCTCTGAAGTCTGGACACATGTTCCACCTATTATTGGCTGGCGACAGTTTGTTCAATGAACCAAGTGTGCAGCTTTTAAAAAGAGGCACTGAGTGAAGCAGTGGCAGGCAGGAACAACTATTATTTGAGGGTATATTTTGGAGAGACTAAGCTTCACAGCAGCCATAAGAGATTAGTAGACTAGTAGCTTTTTTGACAAGCGTTATGCACAGAGGTCAATGGACAAAGAGACTACCGGTTCCCCAGTCCCTTGCAGTTCCCACAGAGCTTAGCTCCTCCCAGCCACTTCCTCTTTCTTTCTCACAGGTAGATAATGGTTGCTGAAATCTTAACATTGAAATGAAAACTCCTGTGAGGCCTTGTTTCTTGGCTATGGAAATTCCTGTTGAATTCTGGTGCTGAATTAGAAGAAATGCAGAGGTTCCATGCCTAATATGAATGGGAGGCTTCTCCACATGTCTCTAATAAATGTTTTAATATTACATGTGAATTAAGCCAAAGCATCCTGCTCTTGATCATCCTTGCCATATATGGACAGCTGGAAAGCTGAAGAGAACTTACTGAATTCACTAAGGATTTAAGGGAAGATTGTGACTTCCCACTGCCATGCATTTATCCCAGCCTTCAGTGATCTGGATGGAATGCTTAGGATCTGTTGAACTGGAACTTAGCTCCACTATATGATGTGACACCTAGTGTAACAGAGGCGAGGGGCATCTCATCTCCAAAATGGGACAGTCTCCCCCTGCCTAGTCATGACCCACATATGGTTGCAGGTGAGGTTATCTGCTCCACTTCCATGTGTCTTCTGGATTTCTGCTTTGTTCACATGGGAGGGCACAACACATCAAACTAGACATGGGACAGGAACTGGTGGATCCTGCAGGAACAGAGCTTCTGAAAGTCCATGAGGCTGAACTCTTGGAAGTAGGAGGTGCTGTGTCTGAATCAGACAAAGAGGCTGGATTGTTTTCTAGTCACTGAGAATGCTGCAGGATAAAGGCATAACCCTGGCTAGAAATCCCAGGTCAAATGAGGTCCAACAGTGGGGGAGTAAACTGCCCTAGCTGGGATTTGAAAAAGAACTCAGCTGAGCGTTGGAAGAACTGAGCAACTTAGTTATATGCTTGGACTGCAGGTTTTTCTAGAAATGAAGCATCTTCTGGTTTCTGATCTAGTCTTCTATATATCCTGACCATTATTGTTGACAGCCCCCCCCCGCATATATGTCATACAAAGGGACTATGTACAGCATTCCAGACTGACATAATTAGACTTCTTAGATTCTGTTTGCTTTGTTGGACTACCTTGACATGGGTTTGCTCTTGGCCTCTGGCTTCAGATCTCTTGCACTTAATTTACCCAATTCTCTGCTAGCTGTCTATTAGGTAGTCCCATGGCATCTGTCCATCTGGAACAAGACATACCTACTATTAATACAATGTGGTCTGTGTTGAGATAACTTACTATGTTAAGATAACATACTATGTATGTACTGTGTGTGTATGTATGTTTACTACAGTAGCCCAAGGATGTGATCCAATACTTGCATTATTAGGGAATAAGCCCCACAGAACACAATCAGACTTACCTTTCAATAGACGTGCCTAGCATTGTTGTATTTAGAGTCCAGAGAAACAAACCCCTGACATTTATTTTAAATGAGAGGGCTGAATCTTACTGTTTCAGAGCACCACTTCTAAATGAAGATAACAAGCTACTTTGTTGGGAAGGATATTTTGGAGAAGGGTTTTTAATTGAAGCACAAAAGTAAATGTTTTCTAGTTAGCCTTAAAAAAGAAGTAAAATAAAGCTAGAAACATTTTCATTGATATGGTCAAACACTACTAGACATTACAATTTTTATTACTCATAAATCTACTAGATGCCACCATACTGTACTATATTTTATTTATTCATTCCCATTATTTATATGCCACATTTCTCCTTATACTGGATCAAGGTGACTCTCAACAATTAAATCTATAAAATTCTCACAAGTTTAAAATACAATTTAAACTGTTTTAAAAAGCAATTAAGCATTAGTTGATATTAGAAACAAATATTTAAAACAATTTTAAAACATTTAAAAAGACATGTAAAAATCTCTAAATTTAATAAATGTCACATTTCCTGGACACCCATTTATTGATTAAAAGACTGTGTGAAAAGGAAAGTCTTTGTATGATGATGGAAGGACAAGAGGGCTTCTTGGGGAAGTGTATTCCAAAATCAATATTAGAAACAAAGATTTAAAGCCACTGAGAAGATGCTCTCTTGTGTCCACACCAAATGGACCTGGGAAGGTGGTGGAACTGAGAAGGACCTGCCCAGATCTTAAAAGCCGAGAAGGCTCATATGGGGTGATATGGTTCTTCCAATTGCCCGGATCCAAACCATACAAGGCTTTATAGGCCATGACCAGCACTTTGAATTGAGCCTGGAAATAAGACTGGCATCCAGGACAGATAATGGGGCAATTCAGAAAGCAGACTTGAAATGCTTAGTGATTGATATGTTGTACATTTTTGTGCATCAGCACTTATGGTCTCCGATCTTTTCCAAAGAGTATTTTCCAATTGGACCTTCCCATCTCTGAATAGAATCTGACGTTCCAGTAATTCCGCAGCATCTGAATCTGCAAGCAAGGCTAAGAGACACATGGGGTGGCAAGGACCCCTGGCTTACACTTGTAAAATGTGCCCACTGTGGGACCTCATTTGACCTTATCCTCAGAAACAGCAGCAGGCATGAGGGCACTGGTCCTTTCCCACCTCCTACATCAGCTGTTGTTTTACCAGGCACTTCAGTCTCTGTGCTTTCCATTTAGGACCACAAATGTGTGAAGTGATGACATTAGTTGTGATCCAGATCTCTCATGTAAAAAGTGCCTGCATGAAGGGTGATCCAGTTTGCACCACCACCAGAGGGGCAAGGGTACCAGATGGCAGTGGTTAAACTGCTGCACTGCAGCCAAAACTGTGCTCACGACCTGGGGTTCAATCCCAGGTAGCGGCTCAAGATTGACTCAGCCTTCTATCCTTCTGAGGTCAGTAAAATGAGTACCCAGTTTGGTGGTGGTGGGCAATGTGTAGCCTGCATAATTAACTTGTAAACCGCTTGAAGCACTATGGGGCGGTATATAAGCAGCACGCTTTGCTTTGCTTTAAAAAGCTAACCAAAGGGTTAACTCTTTCTAACGTTTTGATCCTTAAACGGGGTGGTCGCAGGAGGAAATTACAGACCTCCTGGACTAAGTGACAGTCGGATTGAGCTATAATGACAGGCAAACTTGCCGGGAGAAGCCAAGCCACCCAGATAAAGGAAGGGAAGGGCGGGTTGGCGTCTGTTTGCAGAGACGGGGCAGCTGCTCCCCCATTCACTACTGATGACATTCTCTGCCAGACACGGACATGGGNNNGAGGGGGTTTGCGCTCTCTGTGTGTGTGTGTGTGTGTGTGTGTGAGAGAGAGAGAGAGAGAGAGAGAGAGAGAGAAAGTAATCACCTCTTCCGCAGCCTGCCCGCTCTGTTTACCTCTATTAACCTGAAAGAGAAAGGAGAGGAAGAAAAAGTTGTCTCCTCCACTTACAGTACTCGGAAAACTTCAGAACAGGGTCCGCCGGGCAGCGGAACGTGGGTGGGTGAATGGGAAGGGGGGGGCAAGAAAGGACTCTTAAAGAATAAAGCGGACTAATGAAGAAAACCGCTTTTTTCCGCACAGGGGGACACTGTGACTTTAAGTAATCAAAAGGAAAT